GGCGGCCCTGCTTGACATCATGCGGCGAGCTGTCAATCAAAGTACTCAACAAGCCTGAGCAGCAAGCGTTGAAGGGTTAATATGATATATGGAAGACCAGTCAGGCATGCAGTTCCTTGATGGTTAATCCATCTTCAATCATTTTAGTCTTTTTTTGCACACATCCTTGTTCACGTACACAGCTGACAGCATTGCAGCAAGCGCCGTTTCTTTGTTCCTAAATGCCGACTGATTCAGTTGAGTGTGGACAGTGTATGTAGCTTTATTCACGAGCCAAACAAACCATTGGCATACCAGAGTGGGAATTCGGCGAGTTGGCACACCGTGTCGCTGACTTGGTGAAAAGGACGTGCTCGGAGCTGCTTTTTTGGGTCTCGGATGTTTGGCTTTGCCCGGGCCCGAGAGCCTTTGACGTGTCACTTGCGAGCTATTCTTGCTAGGTGTGTTCCACTACCAGTTACAGGCAGTGAAATATTTATCACTATTCACTATTTTGGGGAAAGACCGTTATTAATCATTATAATCATTATCGTCCACTGTTACTGGTAGTAATGGGATATACCCAAGCTGTTGCATTAAACAAAACATGTCCGTTTCTACAGTGAAGTGAGGAGACCCGGAGACCATAACAAAAGAGGTAAACCATGCACAAGATGCATACTTTGTAGACCAAAGACTGATGATCTGATGCTGAATGATGCTGACAACTGATAAACAGGATGTGAAGATGAAAACAACACAAGTGACATGAGTTTGTGGTAAAAGTCGAAAGGGTCTGAAAAAAGAGATGGAAAAAGAACAGGTGCCGGTACTTACTGTAATTTGAGACTCCGGTGATTCCCTTGAGTCGGGGGCCTATGGCATAGCCTATGGGGGCCTTTTGAGACTCCAATAACATCCCATGAGGCACGGCCTATGGCCTGATGCCAAGGGTCCCGGCATTGCGTTGCCGGGAGCCTAGCAGGAACCAACCACGGCAGTTGGGAGTTCCACAGTGGCTTGAGCTGGACATAGGCTGTTTGAAGAATGGCAGCTCCATTCCTATTGCAGGGAACAGGGACGCTGCAATGTTTGAAGACGTTTCAGGTATCAGGTGGAGGCACTGAAACCCTCCCACTCCAAGGCACTTGGCATCCCTAGCAGCTTGGGTGACTTGTCATCCGTTTCGTCATATGTCTCATGCTGTCAAGGTCTCACTAGCTTCTTTGTTAGAGGCGACAATTCGAAGTCGCAGATTCAACAAGGAACCACTATTGAACTCATTTAAGGGCCAGATTTCAGAACCGGGAAATAGTTATTCTCAAAAGAGAGTCGATCCTCAACTGATCTGACTGGTAAGTATACTGTAGATCTTTGAGCGCAAGGCTTTGGGCTGCATCATGTTCGTCTCATGTTCTGATGACCATCGACTTCTTTTGGGCAAATCTTAGGTAGGATGCGGCGTGCAGACCAACCCCCTCCTCTCAGCTGGCCTTTGGGCTGGCGGCCGAAATCAGATGACCAAGGCGGGCGAAGTGAATTGTCAGTGCCTTTGCACAATCCACGGTGTGAAAGATGTCAAGAACCGCTTCGGGTGGGCTCGATGTCATTTCTTTGGAGTGAGCCAGGTGCAGCTTTTCCTGAGAATTCTCGCGCAGGTGAATCGCACACTGTGGGAGATGCTGAGATAAGATAGTGCAAGGCTTGAAAGTGTTTTACATTTATAAGGATGTCCAGGTGGCAACGAGTGCTTTTCCTCCACCTGATTGAGATACCTGTGCAAGTGCCATGAGAGACACTAGGGACAGCAATAGAAAGAATGCGACTTTGATTCTCAGATGTGGGATGATGTTGGAGATGCATGACGATGGGTGGAAACCCAAACACAATTCCGATTTAGATTGGCGATTGGAGCGGAATGGTTTGCTCAGGTGGCGGGATCCGTCATCGCTTTCGCTGCTTTTGGCATCCTGGGCATGGCCTTTTGCCATTGAAATTGCAGAAATGATTCAGGAAGTGCAAACAGATAGGGTGGAGACATAGCCAAGTAGATCCAAGTAGGATTGGATGTTTTTCGGTCCCATTCATTCCCCGTGCTTTTTTGTATTGAAGGTTGGTGTTCTCCACCAACCTCCAATATAGCATCTAAACTTGGGTTCAGACCGCTCGAGAGTAGACGATGGGGCCATGCACAAGAATATCGAAGGACACCTTAGGCAAGTTGGCGGAACATCTCGGAGTTGAGTAAAGGAGATTTCCGCACTCTTGTGCAAGATTGTAAGTTAGTACCATTGTGGGCACTGGCAAAGAAATGGCACCTGATTTCAGTCATGTCAGTATGGGGGTTATAATGTCAGACATTTGCAGTTTGTTTAAACACCTCAAAAATAGCTGCCCAAGCGCTACTCCTTCCATGACAGGGCTGTACTACTCTTTCCGCTTCCCTGGAGAAGGTCCGTTCAGGCGTGTCAGTGGTCTTAAACTGATGGTAGACTCGATATGACTCAGTACCCATGTTGCATCGAGTGACCATAGTGACTTTGTACTACATTGGGTCACCCTAGTTGCAAACTGGTGGAAGACAAAGTAGCAAAGCCAATTTCAGTGACCTGACTGATGATATTCCATTTGTCCAGCTTGGAGAGGCCATGCTTTGTTCTTTGCGTCGGTTTGTTTCCAATCTCGAAATGCCTCAGTCACTTCCTTGGCCTCGAGAGCGCCTGTAGCGCTGCGGAGTGGCACTTGGAAACGGAGTGGCGCCATGCAGAGTGTGACACCTTTGTTGCTATGGGAAATGCCGCGAAATACCACAAAGAACACTAACAACTACTAAGGCAGCGAGGCATGGATCGTTAGGTTGATTGTTTGCATATTGATACTCAGGCCACCTTTGTTGCCACGGTGGCCCACATCAGAGTCCGAGATGCTCAATCTCAGAAGGATTTGGCGAAGGTGTCCTGAGCGACAACGGAAGCCACAAACTCAAAAAAAGACTAGCCCTCACAGCCCCCAGCCCGCACTTCACTCTATAATATAGTCAGTTTAGCAAGAAACCGGAAAGGTAAGTTCGGTAGATTGCAGTAACGTAGCCATGTTACTTGTTTCTATGCACAATTGATATATATATATATATATATGCAGTTGTAGGCTTTCAAGCCAAGTCTGCGTTTTCCATGTAGCTTTAGGTTCTGCTTCAGGCGCCCGTGCGGCGGACCTGACAGAACACCTCACCCGTGCATTCTACAATTTTACAAAGGATGTCACCAGGATGGTGGACCATGCCAAACTGTGTCAAGGTCAGACAGACAAAGGGAAAGGGGATCATTCCAAGCCAGCAAACCACAGTTGAGGGGGACTTGTAAGTTGCTGCGCAAACTTTTGAACAAATCCCCACCTTGTCTTGCAGAGTTGACTCATCCCACTTACTTGCAATGATTCATGCGAAGTGCTTTCAGTAATGCTGCTCAGCTGTAGATACAACAGGGCCTTCACCTTTTGGCCATCATTCGCTACTCGTAGGGAATCTTAATAACGATGCCCTCCAACCTACCAGCGATGGCCTCCAACCTACTAGTGATTCCCTCCAACCAAATAGTGATGGCCTCCAACCCAATAGCAATGTCCTCCTCCTTTTCTTGCCTCTTTTCAATGAATTCCGGTTCATGGTCCATCATTGACTCACTTGTACAGCACAGTTTCACCCTTCACATGGCCTCCTGGCTGAAAGTTCGCGTTAGTCCGTCTGGTGTTGACATGTGTTGACGTGATGGCACGAACTGCATCCAACTATTCCGACTTAAGCTATTCTAGGATTTTCCCAACTTGAGGGTCTTGCATCGATGCAAAACATGGTCCAGGATCAACTAGCCGTGAGTGTTGAAGGCAGAGAGTCTGTCCTAAATTGTTTAGGTTCTAGATTCAGCGATTCTGTCTTCAGACGAGCTTGCTCAAAGCAAAATTGGACGACATAGTCTAGTTCTACCATCAATGTTCATCGATGTGATTGCCAGGGCAACCTCATGCAATCTTGGAAACCAGAGTTGGATTCAAGCATACACCGTATGATGGGGTGTTCAGACCCCATGCTAAGCCTTGGAGGCTTCTGCCCTCACTAGTTCCGTTCTTGTTGTCCGACCGGTATGGCGATAGACCCCATTGCTCTTCAAGTTTCCACATTCCAAAGGAGCGAGGTCCACGAATAAAGGAGCTTGATTCTTTTTTCAAGTAGCACCAAGTGGCCATGGTCCAGCAACAAAAGCTGGGGCGATTCAAAAGGCCAGAAGCCCAGAGAGCATTCCATTCGACAACAACATTGAACAGGGTTATCATAGAAAAACAAAGAGCTAAAGCATGTTAACAAACTTGATCGAATTGGATGCACAATACAACCCCCGTCTCTAAGGCTTTTGGGTCAAACCCGGAAGCCGAATACCCAGTGGAAGCCCAACTATGGTGTGCTGACCCAGTGACGGGCTGAGCCGTTTTGCCTATCGTGGCTTTCCTCGGTTTGCTCGGAAAGAGCCAGTGGCTCTTGAAAGTTTCGGGTAAGGCCAAAGCTGCAGCCGCTCATCGTGTGCCGGCCTTGTGGGCTGTCTGGCATTGATGCATGATGCAACAGTATCAAACATGTGCCCCTAAGTTGACATTCATTTGGCACTGAATGGCTGTTTCGGTGTGTTGAAGCAGTTGACATACTCAGACTCCTGTTGCAAAGTTTTTCCAGATGGTCAAGGTGGTTATATAGTTAATCCACGGCTTTGTCTCAAGACACCTTCAACTTAGGGATGGCTACCCTCAGTTTGAGAAGCCCTACGACCCTGCACTCCGTGTGCCTCGCATGTTGGGGATCACGTTACTTCAGGCCACTATGAAGGCATGTCGCGTTTCATTTCTTGGCTCCTTTCATTCTTGGCAAGCCAGTCTGAGTGACGAGGGACTGAGCCATGGACAAAGTGGACACAAAGAATGGGCGCCGCAACACATTGGCCAGGCGAAACACCTCCCACACAAAGGAAGTACAGATCGCCACTGCCACCGAACATGATCCAGGCCCAGAATGAAGTAATTGGTCGCGGTTGTTGACGGTCAATGAACAGCCCAAAGAACCAGTGGCTTCCTCGCCAGCAACTTTCTTATAAAACACATCTCAGGGATTTTCAGGGCTGGCTTTACACTAGCCGGGTGTGTGTGTGTGTGTGAAACCCTTGGAATCATAGGGCTTCCTTTGAAGTTTCTTTCTTTTTAGAAGGGGGTGCCAGGGACCATGCAAGTCTGGCACTAACAAAGACGCTTGCATTGGTCTGTGATATCAACTCGGGACGCCGAGTTGACATACCTGCTTTGAACACATTGACTCCAGTGGTTCACCCTCGCGCAGGCTGTTTCCAGGTCCATTACATAGGCTGCTGTAAAGTGCTAGTGAGTTCTGCAGATGAGCACGATCGCCGTCATCCTGTCGTTTCGCGCTCGTCGGCGGGCCTCACCTTCCTTTTGTTGGACTTCCTCCAGGATGCCCAGATTTTTACATGAACTTCTCAGGATTTAGGTGCCTAGGTTGGCGCGTGGCAAACCGCAATCAAGTCAGTACGCATTTCCTAAGTGTGTGCCTGCTGCCAGGCTAGTCGGTTGTCTGAAGACTACAACGAAGACAACTTCCATGAGCTACAATCCAAGTTTCAGTTTGAGGTGCGGCAAATGCAAAGTGCGGGCTTGCCTGATCATTGTTGACCACTTGCGAGCATGCACCTTCTGACTGTTTTTCAATTTTTGAAGTGGTAGAGTCGTTGGGCCGGCGGCAGTTTTGTAGCAGTTTGGCCTTCCTCTTCCAGGTTGCTTCAGCATCTTAATTAGGCAGTGAATCTCAACACTTCCTCTGAATTTTTGATCTATGTTGATCTTAGAAATATGGGCAGTCATTGTACGACGTGCAAGAAATTTGTTTGTCATTGAGGTGAAGGGTTTCTTCCCTGAGAAGGCCTATCAGGCTGAAAAGGAGGCGTTGCTGCCAGGTTTACAGTACCCAGCTGTTTGGCTGCTGGGTGTGCTTGACTGCAGACAGATGTCAGTAGATACTCGTAGATACTTACAGTCTTTTGCCACCATCAATCAACCTTTCACTTTGGCATTTGATGCGAAGGTCTTCGACACAGCCTTGAATTTGCATTTGGTTGGCTGGTTGAAGGCGCTCCCTTTATTTTGGACTTTGTTATGCAATAGTACTGCCAAATGGACAAATGACGAATGAAGATTAGAAGCAATGTTGGGACGGCAATGTTGGGCAAATCAAGCGCATAAAGTGTGTGCGTGTGTATGTGTGTTGGGGGGGGAAGAGTTGGATTTTAGATAATCTTAGAGAAATACCAAGTGACTAACCTAATAGCAATGGCCTCCATCCTAATAGCAATGGCCTCCAATCTACTAGCAATCAGGATGTTTGAACATGATGTTGGCTGCCAGAAGTCCTTACTGTATATACTGCATTTTCTCGACGATACATGATGCTACTTGTGCTAGTATGCTGGAGGCTCGCATTTGTGTGTTACAAGCACGACTGTTGAAAGCCGCGACCCACACCCAGAGCTTCGATGCAGATCCGAACCACCTTCATGCTCGGGCACCTTCAGGTGGGGCATTCGACTAGCTTGCGTAACGAGGTTGCATTGTGTAGGATCAGAAACGACCCTTTCCCGTGCTTTGAGTGGGTTACCATGGTAAAATCCACAGTGGGGGGAAGTTGTGCTGCCATAGTTTGCCAAATGTTGTTTTGATCCGCAGCCAGAGTTCTGAAACGGGAACCGAAGCCTTGGAGCACGCTACTTTCGTTTGTGGCTCATTTTTTCCTAAACATCTAGGAGCCAAATGAATAGTGGGTGAGCTACATAGGAGCTACTCGTAACTTACTAATCAAGTAGGCGCCCACTTAATTAAGTAGTAGGGGGGCCTAAGAAAGGAAGAAGTCTCGTAATTGGCGTTTTCGTTTTCTCCCTTCAAGACTTGTGGAGTTTTTGGTCGCAAAGACGGTACTTTGTAAATCTTTCTAATGTATCGGTGCTCCAGTTGGGTGTTTGAAGCGGCTTCCAAACGAACACGAGACATCTCTGTCTCTATCAGTTTTGTTTCTTTGATGCACTTTGATGTTTTCCATGTTTAGTTGAGCTGTAATTTTGAGATGCATTGATTAACAACAAGTGCAGTTGATGGTGGACAATAGAGGGATGACGGAGCATTGCAGAAGATAGCTTATTCCAGCAGTTTGGCAGGGTGATACCTATGCCATGTCGTATTTCAAGAAATACTTAGAGGCGGGAGTTGCTTTGCAGAGGGAGTGGACGTGATGTTCTATCTTCGTAGTGTGTTGCAAACAAAAATTGCTTTGCGAAGATTGCAAAGTATTTGTAAGCCAATGGCAAGGCGTCAACAAGATAGTCCAGCACAGACAATACTTGCTTGAAAAGCTTATTTTTGGACCCAGACTCGCAGTCTTTGGGCAGGGATCGGGTTCGCCACGGGCGTTTGAAGCTCATGACTCATGACTCATGTCATGATCCATCATGTTTCCACTTTTCTTCGTGAGCATCCAAACAGAACATCCAGACACCTCATACAGGAAAAGCACCTCTCACCCGAAGCCGGTACCATCGAGTGGGTGCATGTCTTTGATGCTGGAGCCTCAGCGATCCGATCCTCAGAGCCATGTGAGTGGCGCCAAAGCTATGTGTTGGACAACCTATTTGCTTTAGCATCTTTAGCTATCAAGAGTGGCTTCTTATTGTTCAGCTCATCCAGCACCTAGCCAACCATTTGAAGGATAATCTAGTTGAGATGTTCACCCCTTGAAAAGATCATGAGTTAATTGGGTGTTTGTCCTGTCTTCGATTGATGTCGCCGCTCAGTACAACACTGGTTTGTCAACTCCGTTGCGCTGGGCCCTAAGCAATGTAGGTGCAAAGACCCGCGCTGAAGACGTTTGATGAACTTCTTCCACGAGTTTGAAATCATGT